ACTGAACTACGGTGGTGGGTTGTGTTATTGGACGATGTTTTGATGTGAAAGAATCAACCTTTTTTGTCTCTATGTATGTTATATGAAGCAATACTACAGTTCAAAAAGTTGTCTCTTCAAATAGTATTGAAACAAAATAGAGTATACAGAGTATACAGTTTCTGGGGTTTACTATGGCACTTTGAGTAACACGCATGCTGGTCCATAGACAAAGCAGACCGGCGGCCTGGTTCCACCTTCATTATTCCACAGAGGTGCTAATATTCCTGAGAACCGCGCAGCACATGGGTTTTGGAACTTTGAACGAATTTAAGTCGAGTTTGAAAATTCATCTTTTCGTCTTTTGATGTTTTTTTCTGCTTTTGATATGTGTTGTTCGTATTCCTATTCATCTTGGATTTGTTTGATTTTGTGTACAGCCTCAGTTTTTTTAAACGTGTTCTGTAAATAAATTTAGATTTGATTTGAAGCCTGAACAATGCATTAAAAGCTTTTCTATAATCTGGTTTCTTTGAAGCAGAACCTACACCCAGGTTTACAATATGTCTTGCAGACTTTTGCAGTTATATTGCAGTAGTATAACTATGTAGTCTTGGTCAGGCCGGCTAGTTAGGTTCTTACTGTTTTACCCTGACTACGCACTTGTTGCTTTGTCTTTCTGTGGTTGACCAAGGTTCTGTAGTGGCAGGATAATAAATAACCACTGGTGTTCAAATGGTTTTTGCGTTTTATTTCTTGGGGGCAGTTTTTCTTTGTGGAACTCAGGAGGAATCCATTAAATGGATGGGTGGCTTTTACCTCTGAATTCTTTGAATTCTTAAAAAAAAAGTGGTTCTGTAACGGAGAGTGAGTACTATTCTGTGACTGAGAGTGGGGTACTGTTCTGTAACTGACAGTCGGGTACTACCCTGTAACTGAGAGTCGGGTACTACCCTGTAACTGAGAGTGGGGTACTGTTCTGTAACTGAGAGTGCAGTACTGTTCTGTAACTGAGAGTGGGGTACTA